ATACACCGGTATTTGAATCAAATAAATTTTTTTTTCAGTATACTAGCTCACTTTTCACTAATTCAGATTTAGAGAGAATATTTACTTGAACCAAATAATTTTTATTTGAATTAAATAAATTTTATTTAAACCAATAATTTCTGTATTTGAAAGAAATATCATTTAATTGATTCAAATAATAATTATTTGATACAATTAAATATTTATTTGATACGAGTAAATATTTATTTGATACAATTAAATATTTATTTGATAATAGGGAAATAATCGAGTATTTGAATCAAATAAATTTCTTTTTATAGATGTTAATTTGTTTGGAATTTTAGAATAATAGTAAAAATGGTCATTATTTTTTTTTTTTTATATAAATCCACATTTTATTTTTAAAATCATTAAGGGACCATTGAAATTAGTACTGTTTAAGGTTGTAAATTTTTTTTTCTGACAATAATGAGTATTTAAAACTATAATATACCATGGAATATTAAAAAATTATTAATTCATTAATAATTTTTTTTAAATAAAACTCGAAATTTTTAAAAAATAAAAATTTAAACTTCCATCAAAATTTCTATTATTTAATTCAAATTTATTTTATCATTGATATACACCCAGAGAAAAGATTTCTTTATTTTAAAGAAACAAATTTCTTCAATTTAAAGAAACTAATTTCTTTGACTTGTTTCCTTTCATTCAAAATTTTTCTTTAAATGAAAGAAATTTGTGCGCATTATATCAAAGAAATACTAACATTAATATATAGGGTTAAAGAAACAATTATTTGAATTAAATAAAAAATTTCTTTTAAACGAAGATAATTTTTTTCTTGAATCAAAGATAATTTGTTTGAAACAAATAAATTTTCTTATATCAAAGAAAAATTAGGCAAAAGAAATCTTTTTTTTTGTATGTAGAGTCATACATTTAAATTATTGCTTCAAACACATTTTTTGATTAATTCAACATAAATAATATATTTAATTCAAACATAAATTTTGAAAATTTTAATAATTATAAATAAACTGAAAAAATTAAATTCTAATTTTAAGAATATCTTTTTTGGCGCCTATTTAAGAATATCTCCCATGCATTGTATTCTTAAAGTTCGAATATAATATTCTTAAAATAATCATTTCTTCAATTCAGAACTTTTTCCTTTTTATCTGTAGAATATTTAAGAATTGTTTCTAAGAATTTTGTATTCTAATTTTAAGAATAAAATGCATGGGAAATATTCTTAGGGAGCGTTCAAAAATTACGTAACATTTTTTGGGGGAGGGGGGGCAAGCACTTTGTTACGGACAGCAGAAAAAATGGGGGAGAGGGGGGGTCAAAATTAAAAAAAAAACGTTACGTAATTTGTGAACGCTCCCTTAAATAGGCGCCAAGATATTCTTAAAAGAATTCAATTTTTTCAATGATAACTATTTTAATTTTAATTAATACGTTTATCAATCGAAATGCAGACCTCCAGAAAAAAATAATTAACATTTAAACAATTAAAATAATATTATTAATTGTACTTTCCAAAAGAATGAATATTAATTTTAAAGAGAAAAATGAAAAAACAAATAAAAAGTAACTTTTACTATACTTTAAAAGTAAAACCGGAGCAGTCCGCAGTTTCTGCGCATTACTAGCAATTTTTACTTCAAAAATAGTAAAAATTATTCCGAAAAAGTAAATTTTACTATTGCTGGAGTAAAAATTGACATAGAACGTGGCGCCATCTGCCTGTCTCATTTTTTATGCGTATCAAATTGAGTATAAATTTTGTACTCAATTTGAGATTAGGTTATTTCTGTCTACTTTTTTTTTATACCTATTTGGAGTATTTCTCACACTTACCCTTATCTAAAAAGTATTTCTAATTAAAATAAAAATAAATTTTTCGATCTGGATGGCAAAAAAAAACATTTAATTTTTTTGTTAAATGCAGTAAATTGGAGAAAAGCAGAAAGAGAAAGAAAGCGCGCGCGCAAAGCAAGTTAGATATATACGAAAAAGCGAGAAGAACATTTTGAGAAAGAGGACAACATCATTTTTAGTCGATGGAAAGAGAAAGAGAGAGAGATAAAAATGTAGATGTAGAAAAAAAAAGGAAAAAAAAAAAGAGAGAAAGAAAAAGATAGAGGGATGGCTCGTCGGGTGGCAGAATGGCCTCAACTGGACAGTACCAGAATGACTGGACTACCTACCTACTTTTATATCGCTCGGGAAATAATGGGATTCCCATCATGAAGTGGATTTCCCTCGGGAGAGTTGGACATCGATGCACGCGTCAAGAGATCCTACGAATGTCCAACATCCTGATACCTAGTACCTATCGGTCTCACGTCCATCTCCTACTACTACTATATATATACCCATATAGAACGTTCAAACCCTCGTTTCACCTGTCCTATACCCGTTACACTCGTTTTCGTCGTATCAAAGTATCAACTTCCTATTATCCCTTTCATTTGAACGCGTGCCTTTTATACACGCCTGCGAATGCAATTTTTGATATTTTATCAAAATCCATTTTGACATAATATCAAATTCAAAAAATTGTTTTTAACAAGAAATAAAAATATTATTAAAATTAATTTTTTTTTTTTAAAGGATAGAAAAAGAGCCTCGGCAAGCCCCATGCCAAAAATTCCCCTTTTTCGTACCTCGAATTTTGAAACTTTTTTTATGCCAAATGGTTACATATGATGACCCAATAATCCCTGCAAAATTTCAAGATGAGTATGTGCCCCCTTTCCGAAATACAGGGGGTCAAAGGGGGCCATGTCCAAAATTAGAATATGCAATATAATCGAATAATAATGTTAAAAAAAACCAGACCAAATGGTTCCCTTAAGATTTTCGTCTGCTGATTACGAATCTAAAGTCCGTTTTTAAAAATTCAAAATGGCGGATCCAATATGGCGGACGACATTTTTACAAATCGATCCAATTGACGTGAAAATCGTTACTCGGGGGTTTTTGGGGTCTCTGATTACGAATATGATGTCCGTTTTTAAAAATTCAAAATGGCGGATCCAATATGGCGGACGACATTTTTGAAAATCGATCCAATTGACTTGAAATCGATTTTCAAAAATGTCGTCCGCCATATGTTTACTAATTTGAATTACCGACTCACTTTTTGCTTCTGAATTAGTAAAATTTTACTAATTATTAGTAACTTTTACTAACAATTAGTAAAATTTAACTAATTCAGAAGCAAAAAGTGAGTCACTAATTCAAATTAGTAAACATTTTTACTAATTCAGATTTAGAGAGCAATTTAATTGACTCGAATAATTTTTATTTGATATAATAAACTTTATTTGAACCAATAATATTATCAAAAAAAAAAATATATTTACTTGAAACAAATAATTTTTATTTGAATTAAATAAACTATATTTGATGCACAAATTTATAACATTATCACAGTAAATATTTCCGTGAAATAAATAATTTTTATTTAAAATAAATATTTAATTATTAATTATAATTATTAAATTAATAAAACCAATAATTTCTGTAACATTATCAAAATAAATATATTTTCTTGAAACAAATACAATTTAATTGACTAAAATAATAATTATTAAACCAAATATTTACTTAATAATATTGGCAATCGATTTATTTGAATCAAATAAAGGGGAAAATTAAATAATTAATTTAATTAAAAATAAGGGGAAATTAATATGGAATAATATATTGTAAAACTTAAAAAATGTACAAAGAAATCAATTTTATCACCAAATCTTATTTAATTTCATTATTGAAATATTTAGTTATAAAAAAAATTATTTTGATATAAAATTTGTTGTTAAATAATTTTAATTTGTGTTTTTTTTCTGTATTCAAAATTAATAATTAATAAATATAATCTTTGTTCAATTTGTATAAACACAATTTTGTTATTTGTAACATTTCCAAAAATTTTGTTTGTTAAAGTTCGTAAACGATATTTTTTTTAAATTATATAATAACTGGATTTTTCAAAATTTAATAAAATTAATTTTAATTATAGAGATATATTTGATGATAAAACTTTTAATATAATAAAAAAATAAATAAAAAGTAAATTTATTTTCTTAGATTTCGAATTAAATATAACTGTATGTTTAATTGTTCGAACTATATTTCGATACAATTTTTAACACCGAATCAACATGTAAATAATATTTTTATTTTTATTAATTAAATTAATTTTCATAATTTTTATAATTTTAATAATAAAAATTAAATTCCATATTATCAAATTGTAAATAATATATTATATTATAAATTATAATTATAATTATATAAATAAATTGTAAATAAATAATAAATTGTTATAAATTTATAAATAAATTGCAATTATATAAATAATTACAATTTAATAGTTTGTATTAAATTATTAATATTTTTATAATTAAATTAATTATTAAAAATTTTTTAAATATTAATAAAAATAGAAAAAAAATTTAATAATTTAAAAAATTTATATATTTATAAATATATATAAATTATAAATGGTATTATAAATTATAAATTTTTTTGAAGTATAAATTCGAAAATAAACGAATTCAATTACTTTTTTTAATTATTTATAATTATTATATTATTATAAATATTTTTTTTAATTATATATTTAAAAATTTGTGTCAACAGAAAAAAAAATTCAGTCTTAAATAATATAATCTAAATGTTAATTCAATATCCTAATAATTATTTATAAAAAAATCATTTGAAATAATACTAAATAGTAAATAATAATTTAATTATAATTAAATATAATAAATTATTATGATTATAATTATGTATAGATCATAATTTTAATTTAATTAACAATTTCATTTGTCTTCTTGATAAATGATCATTTAAATTGAAAATAAAAATGTTCGATTTTTGAAAGAAACATAATTATCAATAAATACAATATAAACACAATAAATATATACACATATAACATAAATATTTGCAGAATAATAAATATTTCAAATAATTCTTAATATAGAATAAAAACTCACCAATAAAAAAATTTTCCCAATACCATTTTTTGTTGCTTTACTCTCTATTTGTTATTTTTAAATTGTTCCATCTTACAATGTTTTTAAAACACTTTTTTGGTTTTTTTAATCTAAACCTGAAAAAATATGAAAATTATAATAAAATGGATATTATAAAAATAAAATAAAAGAAAATAAAAAAAATTGTGAAATCAAAATAATAATTTTAATTAATTAAATAAATAAAATCGTAACAATAAAACGAAATACAAATGCAAAAATGTAAAGTTTTGAAATAATAATTAATTATTAATTATTAACATTAATTCTTAGTATTAATTAATTATTGGTTTTTAAATTACTAATATTAAAATTATAATTATTAGTAATATACGTATAATTACATTATAATTATATTATAATTTATTATAAAATTATTATGAATTTAGATTCAAAATTGCATTGAATTTTTTTTTTAAACAATAAAATTTAAAAATTCTTAAGAATTTTTTTTTTATAAAACGATTTTTGTTGTAAAATTACTCAAATATTACAAATATAATGTTAGAAATTATATTTTATATTAAATAATTATTTTAAAAAACATAATCTGTAAAAAATAATTATATTAATATTTATTATAAAATTATTATATTATTATTTATTAATCAGGGTATGTACTAAAAATCTGAATTAAAATTCCAGAACTTTCCAGGACTTTCCAGGACAAATTTTTTTTTTTAAGGACATTAAATTGGATGACCTTAAGGGATAAAAAAAAATTTTTAGTTTAACTATTGTTTTGAGAAATTTAATTAAAAAACAATTTTAATAAATATTACAGAAATATAACAGAAAAAATTCAAGGACAAAAACTAAAATTCCAGGACTTCCAGAACTAGTAGACACCATGTTAATTATTATAATTTCATTCAAATTTATAATTCAATTGCGTTTATAAAATTTTTTATAATTTACAATTTTTTTAATAAAATATTTTACGAATAGATTTTTGATATAAAATACCCCAAGTGTTATAAATAAAACTAGAAATTATTTTTCATATTTTATAATTGAAAAAAAAATGAATATAATTAAAAAATAATTAAATTAATAATTTACAAATAATTAATTAAATTATAATTTGTGTTTTCATAAAATTTTTGATATAAAATACCCCAAGTATTATAATTAAAACTCGGAATTGTTTTTTAAATTTTATAATTGAAAAAAATTACAATATTTCAAAAATAATTTTATTCTTTTTTTTATTATAAAATTATTAATTTCGAATTATAATTTCTTTTTGTAAAATTTTATAATTTATAACTTTTTTTATAGAATTTTTTTTTTTTTACTTAAAATGTCCTAAGTGTTATAAACACTATAAATTATTTTTTATAATCGAAAAATAATTTTTATATTTATTTATTTATTTATTAAAAAATAATGATATTAAATTTTGTTATCATATTATTAATGTCAAATTATAATTTATGTTTCTATAAAATTTTTGATATAAAATACCCCAAGTATTATAATTAACACTCGGAATTATTTTTTATATTTTATAATTAAAAAAAATTAATATATTTCAAAAATAATTCTATTCGTTTTTTATTATAAAATTATTAATTTCGAATTATAATTTCGTTTTGTAAAATTTTATAATTTATAATTTTTTTTTTTATATAAAATGCCCCAAGTGTTATAAATAACATTAGAAATTAATTTTTTATTTAATTGAAAAAAATTAATATTAATTATAATAATATGGAAAAAAAGGAATCTTCAAATAATAATCAAATTATTTTAGGGAGATATAATTATTAATGGCGCCATGTCAAGAATAAAAAAAAATCAATAAAACATTGTCTGCCTATCAAATGTTCTTAGAAATCAAAAAGCTTTCAAATTAATACTATTTTTGGTATAGCTATTAATTTTTTTTTGCCACATCATTAGATGCCCTTTTTAATAAATTGCTGAAAAAAATAATATAAATTTATGATAAAAGAAATCGAGACAAAAGAAAAAGACTTGCAACTTGCAAGACAAAAATGACCTTGACCTACTTTTTCCCAAGTCCCGCCAAATGAAAAAAAAAAAAAAAAAAAAAAAAAAAAAAAAATGGTGCACAAATTGACGCTATATTCTTAATTTCGATGAGAAATATAATTAATTCATATTTCTTATATACCGATATTCATCAGATTTGTCATTATTCATGGGATTATAAGAAGATGCTGGAAAAAACCAAGCACGCTGAACACAAAAATATAACGCCAAAAATTGATGGATGCTTGCAAGCACAATTTACCTGATTTTCCAAATCCCCTTTGACAAAAGTGTGGCACACTCATCAAAAAAGATTTTGTAAATCATTTCAATTATTTATCGCTTGCAATATCCCTTATTTGAAAATATTTAACGATTTTAATAAAACATGGGACAATTTTATTTAAAAGAAAAAGATGTAAAATTGCAACAATATCGACAAAAAAAATGGCGACAAGAAAAATTTTCACAAGTATAAAATCATAAAATTATCAATTATTATAAGATAATTAATGTTTTTCTCACCTATCCATTGCTTCATTTCATTCACGGGACTCGTGCGGCTACTAATCAAAAACTACTTCTTTAAATAATAATGAATACTATTAAAAATTCACTAATTAATATTCAATTAACGAACTTTTTCAACAATCGATGAAAATGCCAATGGAACAATGAGGAACGAGGAAGATGAGGAAGAATGCGGAAACGGAAACCGCAAAATTTAAGAAGTAGAATTGACCACCAGCGCCGCCAGTGGTTGAAAATTTTGAAAATTATTAGCGCCAAATTTAAAATTCTAAATTTAGAAAAACAAAATATAATTCGTTTATTAATAATTATAAAATGATAATAATGTTATAAAAATTGAAAAAAACAAATTTAAAATGTTAATTAATTTACTGATAAATGTTACATACAAATGATAATAGAGAAAGTTCTGGACAAATTTATATTTATCGACAATTCTCGTATTATGGTAAAGTAGATTTACCGGTAAATAATATCCGACATTTTCCATGTGTTGCATTTTTGAGTTACTTATTTTTTATTTATTTTATTATTAAGTGAATAATAGTTATTAATGAATAGTGTTTTATAATTTACATTCTAATTCAAAAAAAAAATTGTGGTTAATTAACGTTTTATGAGAATTTACGGTAAATTTTCATTGTATAGAAAAGTGAGGTTAGATTTGTGATTTATTTTATTGAAAAAAAATGTTCAGTGAATAAATTAATAAAATAATATTGTTTATAAGTGAAAAATAACAATTATTAAAAAACCATGTCATCACTCTGGAAATTTACTTCACAATTACAAATTGTTCGCAGTATTCTTCAACCAAAGTGAGTAAAATTCAATATTTATCTTAACAAATTTTTTATTTATTTAAAAAAAGGAATTTACTGTTATTTATTATTATTATTATTACTAAATTATTGTTTGCATAATAAAAATAACAATGATATTTTCCTCCTGTAATTAGAAATAAATTTTGCAGTATTGTTAATTTTTATTTCAATTATTGAATTTATTAATTAATTGTTAATTATTAAATTTAATTTTAAATTTTTTTAGATTCAATTTAACAGAAATAACGCAAAGAGAATTGAAAAGACTCAATCATCCACCGAGAAAACGTTTATCGCCATGGTTAAAAACACCGGAACCACCGTTAAATGATATTCTTCAGGAAAATATTTCAGAAGATAATAAAGAATTTATTCAAGAAATTTTAAATGATATGTATTCAGAAAATAATAAAAATTATTCATCTCCACTTAAAATTGAACCTATTGAACCAAACACTGAATGGACAAAATATTCTCGACGTTGTGGATTACTTGCGAAAAAAATTGGTTCTTATCCAATGTGGACCAAGGATGGCAAACAAATTAGAACAACTCTTTTACAGGTTTATTTTTTTATTTTATTTGATTTGTTTTTTTTTGTTTTTTTGCATTAAAAAATGTTTTTTTTATTTAAATTTCAGGTTGTTGATAATCAAGTTATTAAATATACTCCACCTGAAACTTTTGTTCCAAAAATAGGAAAACCAAAAATTCAAGTTAAAAAACCACTTGGTTGCATTATTGTTGGTGCTATTTCTTGTGATCCACAATTTGTAAGTTTATTTTTGGGAAAAATTAATATCAAAATTTTATTTATAAAAAGAATTTTTAAATTTAAATAAATATTTTAAAATTAATAATATTTCTACTATGGAATTTTCAATTATTATTGTTGAAAAATTAAAATTATTTTTTAAATCATTTTTTTTAATTCACTTTTAAAAATGGAAATATTTTATTCGTAATTCTATTTTTTTTTCGCTAGGAAATCCTTTTTATTTTTTGTATATTGAATTTCTATTGTAATAATAGAAAAAAATTTAATTTTCTTTTTTAGTTGACAGAAGGTTACAGTAATTTATTTCAAACATCTGGTGTGATGCCTAAAAAAGCAATGGGAAGATTTATGGTAACTCCAGACGCAGCATTAGAACCAGGAACACCTCTATTTGCCACTCATTACAAACCTGGAGATATTGTGGATATTAGAGGAAAAACGTAATTCTTTTATTTTTTTTTTTTTTTTTCATCGAATCGGATAAACAAAAAATTCATTAAATATTGTTGAGCTAATTATTTAAAAGAATTTTTAAATGAAAATAATTCTCCACAATTAAAAAAATCGTAAAATTTTTTCGCAAATCTAAAAAATTATTTTTTAAATCTTTTCTTTTTTTTAATTATTTTTTTTTATTATTTATTTGAACTTTTTTTTAAATTATTATATCATTATGCAAAACTAAATTTTCTATTTATTATTTTCTCTTGTTAATCGATGAAATCCTACTATTTATATTATAAATAATTAATTATTAATAATAATAAAAATTAAATTATTAATAATAATAATTAATTAAAATTTTTTCTGTATTAAAAAAAGGATCGACCGAGGATTTCAGGGCGTTATGAGACGATGGGGTTTTAAAGGTATGCCTGCGAGTCATGGTGTAACTAAAACTCACAGAAGACCGGGTAATATTGGTTCGGGTCGCGAAAGAGGAGTTATACCGGGTACCAAATTACCCGGACATATGGGAAACAGTTATCGTATTGCAAGAGGCGTTCAGGTAAAAAAATTTTTTATTTACTTTATCAAGAATTTTTTAAACAATATTTTTTTTTCTAAATCTTTTCCTTTATACTGAAAATATTCTCAAAAATTCTTTCAAAAAATAGTAAAAATAATTTTTATTTTCAAAATAAATTAAAAAATTATTATTTATAAAAATTAAATTTTTTATATTTATATTATATTATTCTTTAAAATTAAAAACGTTAATTAAAAATTTTTAATTTAAAAATTTAATTTAAAATTTTAATTTAAAAATTTAATTAAAAAAAAATCCTTTTTTAATTTCAATTTTCAGATTGTAAGAATCAACACAAAATATAATATTCTCTTTGTCAAGAGTTCGGGTATACCTGGTGAAATAAATAATATTGTCCAAATTTATGACACTATATTACCAACAAAAAAATATCAAGAATCACCTGCATTTCCAACTTATTTTCCCACTGGCGATGAACCCGAGGATCTTTACGTGGACAATATTCATCATTTCGATGAGCCAACTATCGAATTTGAAGAACAACAAAAGGCGACCAAGTAATTTGTAAATTAGTCACTAAAAGAAAAAAAAAAAAATCTTTATAAATAAAATAGATCAGTTAAAATAAAATGCAAATAAAAAAAATTATTCAACAAAATATTAAAAATTTGTGTTCTGTTGAGAAAAATCAGTACAAAATAATTTGTTTTTACTAATATTAATTGTTATGTATTTTTAATCGAGAACTAAATTAAATGTTAAGTATTAAAAATTGAAATTTAAACATTTCTTTAAATATTATATATTATATTATTTATTATTTATTATTTATTACTAATTAATAATTAATTATCATTTCGGGTTAATGACAAAAATGGGTTTATTTTAAAAATAAAATAAACTTGCCAATCATTGTCCAAATGTAAGCTACATTTTTTTATTGTTGCTGCTCTTTCTTACAGAACGTTCGTTATTATTTAATTAATTAATTAATTAATTATCACTACTAAAGAGTAGTCAATCGATTTATTTATAGTAGTCAATATTATAAATTTAACATGCCTAAAATATACACGAATTGTTTATAAATGTAACATTCTGAACCAAGACTCGACTCTTCGAATTAGTCAGGGAGCAGCTTGTGCAAAAAAAAAAAAAAATTAATTTTTTTTTTTGGTTTTACTTTCGTATGTTACGTTTATTTTTTTAAATAAGAAAATCTTCTTTTTCTCTCCCTCTTTCTTTCTCTCTAAAGGCATTCAAATATCGACTACAAGTAAAATATCCACCGTTTAGCGAAACGTAATAAGAAAAAAAAAAAGAAAGTTTTTTTTTTCTTTCTTTTTTCGCTTCGCAAATCCTTTGACTCCCAAGTCGAATAATGCTGCCTTGAATTTAATAACTGCAATTCGTACGCATTGCAAAAATATTAGAAAAAAATTATGTAAAAATACACAACAATAAATGCTTTTTCTTTTTTAAAAAAAAGAAAAAAAAACGAAACATAATTTAGTCATTCACAGCAGCATCTTGTTAAGACTTGTTTTTTTTATGATTATACACAAAAAATAAAATGTTGTACAAATCCTTTTTTTTTGGAAGAAAAAACAACAAAAGAACACGATAGATTTTTTTCTGATTAGTCGCTCCTTTTTAATTGTTTCATATTGCTCTCTTTCTTCATTTTTTTTTTTTTCGAAACACAATTGAAGATAGTACGTGTTTTTTTTCATCTTCTCTTTCTTTATCCACTGTTTCACTGACACCTTCGTTTTTTGACCCTTTAAAAAATCCAAGTTCTTGGTTCAATTACTGTGTAGCGACAGTGCCGCGATTTTTTTTTTTTTTTTTCCTTTATTTTGATCGCATTTAGATGTGTGGGAGTCATTGGAAAAAAAGGATAGTATGGAAAAAGGAAGGGATAGGGGGGGTTTGGGGAAGCAGAATGGCTCCGTGATGGAGTTTGTCAAGGGACGGCACAATCCAATTGGAAAAAACACGTAGCCTCTCAGAATTGAAATCCTTCGTTTGAAATTTTTGGCTGAACATCAAATTGATATGATGATTCTCCCACTTGTGGTGCAACGTTCACATCGTCCGCCTGAAAAATAATGAAAATTGTAAAAAAATGTACCCAACATTTCAAAATCTGAAATAATAATAATAGGGAAAATTTCTCTCTCACCTCTTCTGCAAAATATTGTTCAATAATATCGTACGCCAATTTGTAAATATCAACATTCTCATGATTTTGCAATGCTTCAATTTTATCAAGTCCGGAACATTCTTCAATCATATTTGCCAATTGTTCAACTTGGGCACCGGCAAGTTTGAGCATATTATGAATTCCATCGAGTACAACTTGAACGACTTGTGTGTCTTTACACGAGAGAAGATCACAGAAAGGCGAAATAACTCCTTCTTGAATGAGCCGTGATACTTGTTCCCTTGTTCCACTTATCGTCAAATTACTAATTGCCCAAGCAGCCTCCTTTTGCGTTTGGAATTCTCCCTAATAAAAAAAAAAAATATTTTTTTTTTGTTTTTAAGTTTACGGGGAAAAAAAATTGTATAATTTTGTGAATTTTTCCCTTCTCACCTTGGACAAATTACGAATAATGTGTGGCAATAGTCCGGCATCGATAACGGCTTGAACTTGTGTTTGATTACCGGCGGTGATATTCGATAGGAACCAAACGGCTTCTTTACAAATTTTCTCCTTTGGATGTGTCAATAAATTCGTGAAATGTGACAATGCATCACAATTGAGGACAACTTGAGTTTGTTCATCGGTACCAGTTACAATATTACCAACTGCTCTCAATGCAGCGGTTTGCACTTTAACTTCCTTGTGTGATAATAATGGAATTAATCGTGGTACAACGCCACTGTCAATGACCAATTGAATTTGTTCATTACCACCGTCTGTTAAATAACTCAATGCCCAAACAGTATCGACGAGAATCTATCAAAAAAACGAAATCGATGAATATAATTTTAAATTTTGTTGTTAAATTATTTTTAAAAAAATGAAACTCACATTGATATCCGTATGATGAATCAACATATTGAGTGCTGGCAAAATATCCTTAATTGTTTGAACAGGAGGCGGAGGATCTTTGTTTCGACATAAATTAACAATAACCCAAGTGACATTGCGAAGAAAAGTGAGCGGTATATCGGGCTTAATAAATGTAAGCAATGGTTGTACAACACCAAGACTTATTACATAGTCTCGTGGAACTGGACCATCACCAATAATATTTCCTGTGGAATCAAGGAAAATGAAAATTAATATTAAATTAAATCATTCGAAAAAAAATATCTAACGAAGGAAAAAAATTCCCTGATCTAAATAAATAGTGTTACGTAAAAAATAAAATATTTAAGTGAAATAAATAAAATAATTGGTGACGTATAAATATTCTCAATATTTAATTTAAAAGAATTTTTACGGTGTCAAATCTTATAAATTATCAAATTTTTATTTAGTAATTAAGTGTGAAGGCCAACTATTTAATTTGCATTTACTTTGAGAAAAAAATCAAAATTTTGTTGAAATTAAAAGTTACTTTAATTTATTGATAAAAAATTCCAGAAAATTAAAGAAATACTCTTGACTGTTAGACACCCTGAATATATAAAACCTTTCTCAATGTTTCGATTACAGATAAATTAAATATTTTTAGAACTCGAAAAAAAGAATTTCTTTAACTAATTAATTAATTATTTTTGAAAAAAAGAATTATAAAATAAATAAAATGAATATTCATAGAAAAAAATTATTTTTACATCAAATTTTGTAATTAAAAAAAAAAAAAGATCATTACGTTATTGAAAGAAAATAAAAAAACTGCTGTAATCGTAAAATTACGTTTATAAGTAAATTTGGAAAAATAATTAAAATTTATTAATCAATTCAAACTAATGATTTATTTTTTGTTTTTTTTTTTTATGAAATTTGGAATAAATTTGATTAGAAAAAAAAAAAAATTACCTAAAGCCCAAACAGCCTGTTCACATACGTTCTGTTGACTTGAGAGTAAAAGATGTAAAAAGAGAGGGACGGCGCCGGCCGCAACAACTGCCTGCGTTTGAGCAGATGTTCCACTGGCAATATTCGTGAGGGCCCAAGCAGCTTCGAATTGCAAAGACGGGCTAGAAAATTTTTTTGCAATTAGTACCAAATTACGTATATAAAAAAAAAAAAAAAAAAAAAAAAACTTAATAAAAGCCATTAAAATTATTATCAAAATTAATTATGTGTTAAAGAAAAATAAAAATTATTTATTATAAAAAATTGAAAAATTCCAAATTACAGCAATTTAACAATTTAATTATTGTATTGTTTTAATCATTACTAAATATTATAATAATTATATATAATATATATTATATAAATTCAACGAATTTTTTATAAATATCGATGCAATAAAAATATTTTTTTTTCGAAGAATTATAATTACAATTACTTTTGAACATTGAATTTTTTTAAATAATTGAATTTTTGAAGAATTGTAATTGAATATTTTTAAAGTAATTGCGGTTTTGACGAATTGTGGAGTTAATAATTTTTTAAATAACTGTATTTTTGAAGAATTTTTACAACTTTTTTCGAAATTAGCTGCAATTGTTAAGGAATATTTATTACAACTTTTGCAGAAAGTTTAATAAAAATTTTTCAAAAATAATTGAATCTTAATATTTTGTTTTTAAAATAATGTAATTTTTAAAGAAATTTAGTTGAAAATTGGAAAATTATCAGTTTTTTTAAAAGATTTTAATGGTAAATTTTGAAAATAATTGAATTTAATGATGGTTCAAATGAAAATATTGAAAGTAATTGAATTTTCGAAGAATTTTAATTGCAAATTTTAAAACGTATTAAGTTTTTGAATTAAAATTATTAAAGAGCATTTAATTTTTTGCAATTCTTTGAAATTAATTGAATTTTCAAGAATTTTAATTTGAAGTATTTAAAATTCTTTCAATTATTTAAAAATATTATTATTTTAAAGAATAATGGAATTTTAATGGATTTTAATGAAAGTTTTTTAAACAATTGAATTAGAATAATTTGCCTAAACAACTGTGAAAAGTTTTTATCTTAATTATTAAATTATCAATTAATAGACTTAAAAACTATACAATTCGGACAATTTTTTTAAAATTTATTTAAAAATTATAGCATTTAGTCTCGTCAAAATTAGTATTTAAAAAACAGGGTGGCCATTAAAATTTGAAAAATCCAAAATTTTACCAAAAATTTTTAAAAGCAAATATGGTGAAAGATTTTAGATTGCGAATTATCAAAAAATATGTTATAATAAATTTTTGGGAAAATGTTATTCAGTAAAATTATTCACACCGTTTTCTTGGATTTCAAAGTTTACCCTGAAAAAATAGTCAAGACCAAAAAAGTATGAAAGAAGTAAAATGAATGTGGTACTTCGAGGCATGTAAATATTAAAACAAAATTAAATATACGTGCAATAATTCCTTTTTTTTATACCTGTCGTGTTGTTCCAAACAACGAACTAATATTGGCAGAATACCACTCTCTATTAATGGATCAATTGGTGGATTACGATCTGAAGAAAGTAATTTTCTTGCTGATTGTACCGCTTGTAATTGTTCCACTGGATCTGCACTACCAGCTTTCATAACTAATTCCTCCAAATTCATTTTCGACAATTGTTTATCAATATCATCCTCATCTGAAATAGAAAAAAAGAAAAATAATTCACTTAAAAAATTCCAAAAATTAGAAAATAAAAAAAAATAAATTTACCTGTGGAATCTGTCACTGGTACATTTCTTCTCTTCTGAAGTGTTTCATCACGTTTATTTTTTCTAAGTTCAACTGTCACCTCATTTCTTCTTCTTCGCATTTCCTAAAATTCAAAAAATAAATAAATTTTAATCTATCAAAAATCAACATTAAAAAATCCAATTTAAAAAAAAAAAAACATTAAAATTGATTTGAAAAATGTTAATATAGAAAAGCGGAAGAGAGAGAGAGAGAGAGAAAGAGATGATTCATTACTACATGGCATAAATCTAGAACATTTTTTTTTTTTTTTTTTTTTCAATATTTCAAAATCAAAAATAAATAACGAACTAAAATTAGACGACAATTTATTATTTTCTATAAATAAAAATAATTTGAATGAAATAATTTATAAATAATACTCACATCTTGATCCTTGCCTTTGTTCTTGAATACCATCAAGCGATTCTTCTGTGAGTCAGACGCCATTTTTACAATAACCAATCTTCAGAGAGTTCTTAATGTCGATTAATGAGCCGGTAAAAAAAATTCTTTTTTTCAGCAAAATGTCTCAGTTTTCGCTTTTATTATACCCTTTTTATTTCATTAACAGCATTACGTAGCGTGACAAAGTTATTTAAAAAACAATCAATATGCAATATCATGCATAACAAAAACGAGTTTTTTTTTTCCTCCTGATTTTAATATTACTACACTTTGGATGAATCGATCACGTTTTGACGCGTTAAATTTGCTTATTTCACTGGGACAAATTAATTGGTGAAAAGAAATTTGGATAGTATTCGTAATAAATACTATTTTACAATTTTTACTTGAAAAGCCACGTTCAATATATCTTTTTTTTCGTTAAAATCACTTTGAGCAATTCGGACGCATATGGCCGTTTAATATATGAACTCTCTTTACTCTCTACACGAGAACACGAGGCTGAAAATCCCAACCCAACTGCAAACTAATACTGCGCATGCATTGGTTCTAGAGTGAATATTATTTAGAATTCAAGTATGCTTATTGGTTACTGTTGGCGCTTTTTTAATATGACAATTTTCTCAAAATTACCATTTAAACACAATTAATATTATTTATATAAATTTTTAGAATGTTTAAATTTAATAATTTAACTAATTAACACTAAACTGTTCATTTGTTTTTAAAATGGCGACGCAAACTTAAAGGCGGATTCACAATTTGTCCAACTAAAGTTTCGTTTTAAATTCAAAATGCAATTTTATCTTTATTGTGTATTTTTATTATTTTTTTCATATTTATTATTAATTTTGTTTGGATTTATTTATATTTTTTTAATAATTATTTCTAAAATTTGTTATTTGCTCCAGAAGGTGAGTTTTCAAAATTATACTACCCCCCGCGGAAATTTGAAATCGACCAATGAGCAACAGTTATGGAAATTTCCAATGGAAAGTGTCGCAAAAACATCTTTATTAACACCTAACAGATGGCGCTGCTAAAATTTATATTTTGAATTTATTATAAACATAGATTTACGTTTTATATTATTATATTGTTTATTCGATATTTTGAAATTTAATTTAAAAAAATTTATTCGATTTTTTTTGGCAAAAATTCAAATATAAATTCGCAAATTGTAAAAAAAATCGCGCATATGTGCAAACAACACACACTTGTCGTCTGCTAATTTAAAATGTCCTTGCTGTCACTTGGTATTTCTTCAATTTCAAAATTTGTATTTGAAACCCCTCAATTAATTGGAAATGGGGTAAGTAATCATTAAATTGTTTTTATTAATTTGTTATTTAAATTAAAATTAAATTAATTTAAATTATTTTAAATGAAAAATGAATAAATCGAAACATAACCTGTTTTTCAACTTTGTTTATTATGTAATTAATTTTTAAAAAAAACATTTTGAAAATTGAGAATAATTTAACTAAAAGCTTCAACAAGTACGCAATCATTGGAGTAAAGCTTTAACTAGACGTGATATGAAAAGGAGAAAATTAGCCAAAGAATATGCACCAACTCGTTTACGTCTTGTTTGTATAAAAAGATGTAAACTTTTACCACCTGAAATTAGGGTGAGTGAAAATTGATTTTTTTTAATTATAAATTAATTTTTAGTTTTGGTTTTATATTTTTTTGTTTTTATTTTTTTTATAATACAGGAATGTGCTAGTAAGGATTTTGATTTTGTACCACGTCAATCGGCATTGAGGCAATTAACTGGACGATGTGTTTTAACATCACGTCCACGAGGTAATCTTTTGAGATGGAGAATATCTCGATTTATATTTCGTAATGTTTCCGATCATAATCAACTATCTGGAGTTCAACGTGCGATGTGGTAATAATAATACAAAAGAAAATGCATTTTGCTGAAAATATAGAAAATGTTAATGTAAAATTTTAAAATAAAAATAATAAAAAATTCTTACAAATTTTACCAAAAAAAAAAAAAAATAATTCAAGGTGTCTAACGGTTAGGGAAAAGTTAGGGAATTTCTTTAATTTTTTGAAATTTTTTTATAAATAAATTAAAGTAACTATTAGTTTCAAAAAATTTTTTACTTTTTTTCCTAAAGCAAATGCAAATTAAAAATTTAGCCTTCACACTTAATTATTAAGCATGTGATATATATTATATTCATTAAGTAAATAATTATTTACTACAATTTATTGAATCTAATAAATGATTTTTTAAACTTGGATAACAATTTTTTTCAGTGAAATATTTGGTTTTATAATAAAAATAAAAATTATTTGACACAATTTTATTTTATCGGTTCAACTTCAAATAAAATAAATTATTTATTAATACGAATAATTTATTATTTAATTGCTAATATCCACATTTAACTTATAAAAATTTTTACAGCGTTGAATATTAAATTATCGAATTTCTATTTAGCAAAATTGTATAAAGTGGATTTTATATTATGCAAAATTTTCAATTTACATTTAACTAAAATTCGATTTAAAAGAATTTCTATTTAGCAGAACTCTTATAAAGTATATATTCTAATATTTTTTTTAAATTTTAAATTAATATAATTTCAATTCAACGAAATTTATGTCTATAAAGATTGACAAAAGTAACTAGGTAGAATTTTTCTTAAATGAGAAATCTGTTAAATAAGAATTATTTCGAATTAAAATTTTCTTTAATAAAAACTTTGTTAATTAAGAATTTTGTTAAATAGAAATTCTGTTAATTGTTGATTTATTCAATGACAATTCTGTTCAGTATTTATTTTGATAAATCGAAATTTACTAAAATAAAAATTTTGTTAAAAAAATTTTCTCTTTATGCAATTTTTCTCGACATAAATTCCTTTAAATTGAAATTGTATTAACTTGAAATTCGATGTACTAGAAAATCTGCTTCATATAAATTTTACTAAATAAAAATTTAATAATTTAATATTTGACGCCGTAAAAATTCTTTTAAATTAAATCTTGAAAATATTTATACGTCCCCAATTAGTTTATTTATTTCACTTAAATATTTTATTTTTTACGAAACATTATTTATTTGGTTCAAATACATATAAAATTAGTGTATAATAGACGCAGGTAAATGACTTAATTGTATCAAAATAAATTTTATTTGATCAAAATAAAAATTTTTTAGTGTAATTTAGGTAAGGGAAAAGTCAGAAAATTTTTTTCCTAGCTGTTATTAGACACCCTGAAATTACAATTATTACCCAATTATTTAATTTTCAATTTCTAAAGTTTTTTTTTTTATTTTACTATAGCAACTTTCTTTTTTCCATGTATAAAGAATTCTATGGAAAAATTAGAATAAACAAAGATTGCGTGATGCCGCATAATAATGAGATGATAAATTCTTGTTATGACTCAAAAATTGGTCTGTAATTTTCTCGTTAATTGTAATCACTAATCAAATTAAAAAAAACTTAGCTATTTGTATATTTTTTCTATATAAAAAAAAAATTTGAATTAAAAAAAAAAAAAATTCAAAAAAAAATTGAATTTAAAAATCGAATTAGAAAATTGAATTGGAAAATCGAATTGGAAAATCGAATTAGAAAATTGAATATTTTCTGGAAAATAAATTTTGATATTTAAATGTTATTATTTAAATTTAAATGATAAGGTGTTTATAAAAAAAAATAATTAATTTTACAATTGATAGAAAATGCTTTTTAAATAAAAAAAACAAATTTAATTGACTTTCTATAAGGTAAATATTAAATTTAAGTCGCGAGTTTGATTGAGATATGAAAATAGCGCATGTGCATATAACTTTTATTAGTTTTTAAAGTTAATACTTCAGTCATCATTTTCGCTTACAAGAGAGTGGTTTCAAAAATTAGCGCGAATTTTCATTGTTACAAATGTAAGTATAAAAAAAAAACTCGAACCATTATAAAAAATATTAATCAACTCCTTTAATTTTGTCATTATTATATATTTTGCCAAAATTTAAAAATTTGAAAAAAAAGTAATTTATTTTCAATTAATTAGTAATTCATTTTCCTAATATTTAGTTTTAAATTACTAATATATTTTAATAATAATAATATTTTAATAAATAATATTTTTTAACAACAAAAATTTATTCAATAAAAATGTTCAAAATGGCTTTATTTTTCAGTTTCAGATTATAAAGATCATAATTATAATAATTAATCGATTTAGTGAAACCTATACTAGAAAATAATAAATTTCACGTCAGTTTGAAAAAAAAATTTATGTATTAAGAAAAGTTTCTCTTTTCATTATTTTATATGTTAATTCTAAGTTTATTTGAGAATTGTTTTTTTAAGATTATTTCAGAATTTGCGATATATAATAAACAAAAATTAAATTTATAAATAGAAGAATGAGAATAGAAAATTAAAAATGAAAAGTATATCATTAAGAAAAAAGAGTGGAAAGGGAGTAAAAATTTCTCCGATAGATAAAAAAATGGTAATTAAAAAAATTGAAATTTCTGTTGCCGATACGTCTAAGAATGAAAATAATAAAATTTATCCATTCTTTGAAATATCTGACAAAAAAAATATAAATGATAATAAATTACCGGAAAAATCATTCATCAAAAGGAATATAAATTTGAATAAAAGAATTCATTTTAAACGTGACAATTCATTGGAATCGGTGAGTAAAATTAAATTATAATTTTAATATAAAAAATAGCTTATCATTATCAATATACTTGTAAAAATTTTTTTTTTTTTACAGAATTCTGAATATTTTGCAAATGCAATTGGTCTTGTTTTATTGACGGCACAATTTTTCGGTCTCTTACCAATATCTGGAATAAAATCAAATTTACCGGAAAAATTTAAATTTTTAAAAACTTCACCACGAACTATATATACTTATATTGTAATTATTGGAAGTTTAATTATGTCATTAATTTGTTTGATTCACATGGTGAAAACATTAAATACCAGTTCATTTAAAGTTCATGGTAATAAATTTATTTATTTTTAATCTAGAATAATAAAATTTTGAATTTGAAAATAAAATTTTTTTCTTTTTTCAAAGGAGGAATAGCTGATGCTACAGTGGGAGCTGTATTTTATGGAAACAGTTTATTTGGAACAATTCTTTTTTTAAATCTCTGCCCAGGATGGATATCTTTACAACATGATTGGAGAGCCATGGAGGAATATATCGATAGGTAATATCATTAATTTAAATTAAATTATTCAAGAAATGATAATTACTAATTTAATTAATTTTTAGAGGTAAAGGTGAAAGACCAAAATTAAGATGTAAATTTTCACTAATAACAGCATCAATTTTTATTCCCGCATTAATTGAACATATTCTCAGTGTAATTGCAAATACACCCAATGAAATTTGGGGCAATTCGACATTTGACAAATTTCTTCAAATTTACACAATAAAGTCGCATCCGTTTTTAATAAAAAATGGTAATTATTAATTATTATTAATAATTATAATAATAATAATAATAATTATTATTATTAATTATTCTAAAATTGAGAATTAATTTTCAAAAAGAAAAAAATTTTTTTCAGTTGACTATAATTTTACCCTTGGTCTATTTACATTTGTATTAAGTCGAATAGCAACATTCACTTGGAATTTCACCGATGTTTTTATTATGCTGGTAAAATTATTTAATTTAAAAAAAAATTTATTTTTATTTCTATATATTTTTATGTTCTACTTTTTTATTCTACAGGTTTCTACCGGTTTGGCTGAAAGATATAAACAATTAAATAAAATAATTTCAAATAATACTTCTGCAACATTTACACCCGATGAATGGAAACAATTGCGTGAATATTATGCAATTCTTAGTACTTTAGTGAAAAAAGTCGATCAAAAAATTTCTTCTATTATTTTTCTCTCATTCGTTAATAATCTCTATTTTATTTGCCTCCAACTTCTCAATGGTCTTTCGTAAGTTTTTTTTTCGATAATTAAATTTAAAAAAAAAAAATTATTAGTTATTAAAAATTAATAAGTTAATTAAATTAAAAAAAAATAGAATTAATTAAAAATAATTTTATTTTAGACTTCCTGACGATGGAAGAATTGTGAGTGTGATTTATTTTTTTGGTTCATTTTTCTTTCTTATTGGACGGACAATTGCTGTAACTTTATTAGCAGCGAGAATAAACGATCAGAGTAAAATTGTGTTACCCTATCTTTATAATTGTCCACCGTCGACATTTACTGGAGAGGTATTAAAAAAAAAAAAAAAAAACTTAGTGCATGTTGAAAATTATAAGTTAGAGAAAATCCTGATTATTGTCACGATTTGTGACATATTTACCATATTTAAATTTATTTTTTTTTTTAATCTGATTCACAGGCTCAAAGACTTCAAGTTCAACTCACCACCGATGAAGTGGCCTTGACGGGATTACGATTTTTTTCAATTACAAGAAATTTCATGCTTGCGGTATAAAATATTGATATTAAAATATTTTTCTAATAAAAATTAAATTTATTGTTTAAATATTATATTTATTTTAAGGTGGCTGGAGCAATTGTAACATACGAAGTTGTACTTCTACAATTCAACATGGCTTTAAAACAATAAATAGAGAAAAAAAAGTGATTTTTTTTTATCAATCAGTGCTATTGACACTGATGGAAGATAATTTCTATCTACACGAGAAAAAAAAATTATATTAACTATTTTTTTATTCTTTTTAATTTGTTGTTAACGACTTTAATATTTTTCTCTTTTTCCCATAAATTATGGGATAATTCTTATTATGAATAAGAAGGAAATTCATTTCAAAAAAAAGAGAGAAAAATTAATCTAATAATTTTTATTTATTTCTATATAATTTTATTTTAGTTCACAGACCTTAGTTATATTTGATGGTTCATTTTGTTGTACTGAATTAAATTGCACAAGAACGAGTTCATAGGTAACAATGGTTCCTGCTACCTGAAAAGTATAAAAAAAATTAATTTTAAATATTAATTTTTTTTTTTTTTTTCCTTTACATACCGTCAAAACAAGACCTCGTGTAATGGAAAAGAATTTCATTCCTGTAAAACTGATGTTATCCGTGGTTACTTGAGTCAAAAATCTATCAACCTGACGAAATAAAAAAAAATTAAATAAAAGAATTTTTTATTGTAAATTGAATTAGTTTTTTTTTTTTTTATTAATTAAATTTTTTTTTATTTTTTCTTTCCTTTTCGCAGTAATATACCTCTGGTGAATAATTGGATGTTGAGACACTATATAAAATTGGAGCCGCAAGCACTGATTCATCATGTACACCTGCGGCAAATAGAGAAACTGCAGCGGTCCTCACCAAAAGAAATCCAAATGAAAAACAAAAGTACGTTGTCTGCACTGCATTTCTCATTGGACTGTTTATAAATTAAAGAATTTCAATTACTTTTTAATTGAATTAAATTTTTTTCCTTTTTTTTTTTGTTTCAATTCCTCTACAATTTTTTAAATAGAAAAATTTTTTTTTATCACACAAATTTTAATAAAAATAAATTTTTATATTTTTCTACTTTTTTTTTTTTTTGGTACTACTTTTCAAAATTGGAATTAATATTTTGAAGTACCTCGAGAAAACTTGCCATTCGAGAAAGCTTTAGAAAGTAAAATACAAATATTATTAAATTCAATAAATATACAAATATTTTGGAGATCTATAAAAAACAACAGTTTATTAAAACAAGAGGAGTTTGAAATTTAAAGCCTATGAAAAATTAGAAAAATTGAAAAATACTTGAAGGAATGAAGAAGTTGAATGCAGATGAAGTAGAGATTCGTTGAAAAGGACAATAGGACAATATCCGAGATGTGTGAATCAATGTATCTTGTCATTGTTGAGAGACGATTGAAATCAATTCTTGCTTCAGCCCACCACCATTCTGGCATCGCCTTCACAACGAAACAGTGCTAATCGTACGTTGATTTTTAATTTAAAAAAAAAAATAAAATTTCTTTAACAAAAATTACCATGCAAAGCTAAGTAATAATAATAAAAATAAATTTTTTCAAAAAAATTTTTAAATAAAAATTCCTCTTTTCAAATTTAGTTTCTTTAATTTAAAAAAAAAGTTATGGAAAAAAAATATTTGCTTTTGAATTTTGAAAAAAAAATTGAGCAAAATAAAAAATACGTGAAAAAGTAAATAAAGAATTTGTGAAAGGGATTTTTTTTTGTAATTTTGAAAATTTACCTTTCCTCTAATGGCGTATAATCGACTATTTAATTGTCGAAATTGATCCGTTGCTGCAATACTAATGAGAATTAAAAAGAGATCTATAAAATTCCAAGAGAATGTGCTAAGTATATTGACAAATTGAACTAGAATTCCCTGCCAAATTGTAAACGTTGACGATTTTAAAATCTGTAAATAAAAAATATTTCCTTTTGAATTGAATTGAAATATTTCAATTTTTTAATTGAAATTTAATTTTTTTTTTCATTATTATTTTGCCTGTGGTAAAAATATTTTTAAATTAATAAATACCTGAGGATAATGATATGTAAAATAAGCGATCATAATATCGGTATCATTTTTCAAAGCTGTACATTCAACGGCACTTACATATCCTGAGAGAATTGATAACGTGTGTTCTACTATTTAGAAAAAAAAAACAAATATTTCAATTATTCATCTGAAAAAAAAAATTACGAGAGAAAAAACTCACAGGCAGCCAGCATCATAATAATAAAAGTTATAATTTTAAATTTAGCAGCGAGACTATATTTTGAAATTCGTCGATTTCGTCTCATCGATAATTCCTGTTCCATATTTTGCCAAGTTACTGAAAATTCAGGCCATTTTCGTGCCAATTTCAATAAAAGTAAAGTAGTCACACCAGTTGTTGCAAAAAATACCACATTAGCTTTAAAAAGTAAATAAACAAAAATTATTAATATTATAAAAATAATTTTTTTTTAAATTTCTTTTTTATAAAGAAAAAAAAAATTCACTTGTTTTTTTTGATGTTATTGTACTTGTCGCAACGCCATGAATGCTGAAACCTGTTAAAACTGCTGTTCCAATTGTCGCAACAAAACAATAAAATACCTTGAGACTCTTCCATGTGAATCTAGAAAAAAAAATTTCTTGAAAATACTGAAAAAAAAATGAAGAGAAAAATTGACATGTACTTTATTTCACGGGCATCAGTGGTATTTGTTCCATCGACAGGAAGTAAAGCAAAACATTGTGCTAATACAATTATTGGTCTTATTGCAACAATAAAACTATCAGAATTGAAAATTTTTCGTTGATTATTGACAATTGGACTTGCAGCTGCAAAAAACATTCTTTTTATATAATTTACAATAATTTGCCAAACAAAAAAAAAAAAAAAAAAAGAAGGAGAAACAAAAATTCATGTACGTTTAGGGGAGTTTTCCATTTTTTCAGTTTCTTTTAAAAATCGTTCAAGTAACGAATCACTTTTAAATAATCTTGACGAATGAATAACTGACAAATTTGATTCTTCTCCTTCAAATCTGAAAAAAAAATTTTCAAAACATTACAATTTCGAATAATATTTTATTATTTAATTAGCAAAATTAAACGCGCGAAAGCGCGCCAACTTGAGTATTTAATTGTTTGTTATAAAGAAATTAAAGATTAATATTATTAATAATAATATAATTTATTAGAATATTATTACATATTAAATGATAATAATGAAAATTATATATGTTTCAGGCCTCGGATTATACGACTTATTCCGACTTTTATCGACTTATTTTGATAAAATGCGACATTTTTTTTTACATTTGAAAAAAATGTAAATAAAATACATTTTTTTAATATAAAATGTAGATCTTCTTTAGATCTTCTTCAATTCAATTATTTAACAAATTTTGAACTAAAATGATTCTTCACTAAATTAATTATTTTTAATAATTTTAATGAAATTCTTCAGAAATTGAATTATCATAAACTATTTTTCAATTAAAATTTTTATGAAATTTAACAATTGTTTATAATCTTTTAAAAAAAATATCACAATAAAATTGAATTATTTTTTAAAAATTTCAATTCAAAATAAACTAAAATTCAATTATTACACGAAATTTTAATTCAAAATCAATTAAAAATCCAATAATTATTCAAAATTTTCAATTTGAAATTTAATTATTTACCAAGTTTTCAATTTAAAATGAAATAAAATTCAATTATTTTCTAAAATTTCTATTCAAAATTAATTATCTAAATTTTCAATCAAAAATGAACTTAAATTAAATTATTATCCAAAATTTTCAATTCAAAATAAACTGAAATTAAATTATTACCCGAAATTTTAATTCAAAATCAATTAAAAATCCAATAATTATTTAAAATTTTCAATTTAAAATTTAATTATTTACCAAGTTTTTAATTTAAAATGAAATAAAATTCAATTATTTTATAAAATTTCTATTCAAAATTAATTATCTAAATTTTCAATCAAAAATCAACTTAAATATTAAATTATTATCCAAAATTTCAATTAAAATTTAATTATTTCCCAAAATTTTCAATTCAAAATGAACTGAAATTCAATTATTTTCCAAATTTAAAAACAAATTAAATTTCATTATTATCAAAAATTTAAATTCAAAATTAATTGAATTTTCAATAATTTAAATTTAAAAGCATCTAAAATTTTATTATTTCTAAAATTTTCCATCGAAAATTTTTTTTTTGTAATTTAATAATTTCAATTATAACTCTAAGGAAATTCAATTATTTTTAACTATTTTAATAATATTCTTTGAAAATTCAACTATCTGAAACCATTTTTCAATTAAAAATGATTTTCAAATTATTGTATTTTGTCCGCATTTTCTAATAAATTTTTAGTGAAATTATCTAAAATTTTAATTACAAAACACTTAAAGTTTCAATTTATTTCAAAAATCTCAATTTTAAATCTTTGAAAATTCAATTAAATTTAAAAAATATTTTCCAAAAATTGTTTGATAAATTATTTTTAGTTCTGTAAAATTTAATAATTGTTTGAAAATTAACAATATCTTTTGAAATTTAATTATTTTTCAAAATTTCAACTTTAACCCTTCGAAAATGATTATTATTAAAAAAAAAATTTTTTATTTTAAAATCTGTAAAATATTTTTGTTAAAATAAAAAATAAATCCACTTTTTTTGGAATGTAAATCGACTAAAACGACTTTTTGTGTCTTTAAGTTGATTCGAGGCCTGTGTATTTATAATTAATATTTAATAGGTATTCGTTGGCCCCTGGTACCTTAAAAATTAATTTTTAAAAATAAATTTTTTTCAAATTACTATCTAGTACGAAATTTCCTGGCGCATCTTTTTTCTCATCATAAATTTTTTGTATTTGTATACAATTTTTGAACCAATATACAACTTTTAAAAAATTTCGTTGGTAAACGTTGTGTACTTCAGCTTCGTGAATTGAATTTTCGAATTTTGAATTTTAAAGAAACTTATTCCGAAATTTGGAAACACAATTATACAACTTTGGCAAAAATGAGAAAAAGAATTGTCAAAATTTGACACGTCATAAGATTACTATTCAAAAAAAAACATGAAATCAGAAAAGGCCAACTTCAAGTTAGGACAGAAGGACAGACCAAGCATTTTATTATTATATAATTAATTATCTATTTAATTCAAAATTATAATAATAATATTAAAATTATGTCGCTTTTTGGTCACCTTTTTTTTATTATTTTTATTATTTTTTATTTAATGTTAATATTTAATATTTTGTATTTAATAATTTTAAAATTTAAGTATTTTATAATAAAAAAATTTGTAGCTCTTCTTATTTTCTTTGGGAATTTTTTTTTTGCGATCAACTCTAGCTTTATATAAAAAAAAACTTGTATGACAAAAAAAGAGTTGTTTGATAATAGAGAAAGATAAACCTCGTTATATAGTACAAAGAGTGTTAAATAAACATTGAAAAAATTCAATAAAATTATGCATTTCTCAGTTTGAAATTATTTTTACATTTAAAAAGAAAATTAAAAAAAAATTGATATTAATATATTTAAAAAGATAATTGTTAAAAAAATAATGAAGAGTTAATTCAATTTTCGTTTCAAGAAAATTTCCATCTTCTTCGTTTTTTCTAGATTAAAATTACTGAGTCAACAGATTTCTTTTTTATTTGATATATGATCTATAAAAAAAAATGCTTTTAAATGATGAGCTCTTAGCTTTGATTTCTTTCCTACTTTTATGGCTTTTATATTTATTATTATATTATTAATATTGTAATATAATTATATTAAATTCGTAATTTGACTATTAATTTAATATTAAATTAATTTTTAATTTTTTAAATTAATTTTTTATTAATTTTACAATTTTATTTACTATTTTATACAATTTTATATTTTTACAATTTTTTTGATTTACCATTTAATATTTTATTTTGTTTATTTATTATTTATTAATTTTTTCCATTAATTATAATAAATGAAATTTCGTTTTTTTCACAATTTTTCTACTGTTGATTATAGAAATAAATATTTTTTTTTATTTCACTCACCCCTCATTATCTTCATTAGAAGAAGGAATAATTTTTGATGAACGAGGAAGTAACATTCTATCGACAGCTGATGTTTTGGTCACCAATTCAAAATTACTCGATTTCATTTTATTCACTTCATTGATTCATCATCTTTTTTGCTAAACAAAAATAAATTAATACCAAATTTCGTAAGTTAAATATTTTATTAATTTAATTAAAGAAATTAATTTCAAAATTTACCTTCTTTTTTCCACTGAAATTAAAAAACAAAGAATCTTCTTTAAAAATTGGAAAATCCAATTTTTATCTACTTAAATTTTTGAATTCAAATAATAAATCAAATTTGAGAAAAAATTTCTTGTACTCTGATTTCTTTTTTTTTGGTAGAAAAATAAATCTAATGAACATGTAAATAATTATTATTGTGAACAAGATGAAAGTAAATAAGATAAAATATTGTGTTGTAAAAAAAAAAAGAATTTTTAAAAAAACTACCTGTTACACTCGCGGGTTAACTTTATAAACTGATGATCCGCACGAAGAATAAAAAAGAAATCGCCATCTGATAAAAAAGGGTTGTGTCAGTTGATATTCACGCCACGTTCGATTCGAAAAACAAGAAGAAATGACATTTATTTTATGTCAATATCGAAGCAAACATGAAAAAATACTCGGATGTTTTTTTTCCTCCCCTAATGATATCTCTTATTTATTTATTTTTTTTATTCAGTTTCGTAAAATAACAAATAGTTTTCTTTAGAAAAATTCTGATTTTCAATTTTGTCAATTTTAATGAAAAATAAAGTTTTTTTTTTTTTTCTAATCCAAAACTGAATTTCCCTTTTGAATTTTAATTCCGTTTCGAATTAATTCGAAATTAAATATAATTTAATAAAAAAAAAATTATCAATTAAAAATTTAATTTTGAAATATTTTTTTTCTTTAAATATAAAAAATAAAGAAATTTTTCAATTTTTATCCGATTCCGGAAATCGAGGATATTTGAATTTCCTCTCGAAGTTTATTGTCGACTTAACGAAAAAAAAAACCCTCTCAAACATAATATCCTGGAATATATGATAAAATCGTGTTTACAATATGACCAACATTGAACGCATTTAATAAAGTTTCATAAAACATTTTAAAAGAGATAAAACGATTATACACACACACACACACACTCGGAAAAAGAAAACCCTTTTTGTTTTTCAAACTATATGAGATTCCATCAAATTGACAAGGATAATTAATTTCTCGACAAAATGATACTCTGCGAACGATATTTTATTTTGTAATGTCCAGCATTAACACGTTTGATAAAAATAAACGACTAGCTTTTTTTTTCATTTTTTTTAATGAGAAAGCTTCAAAATGACAATAATGTGAAAAATGAGGTTTTTTTTATCTTGTCATGGATCACACACTTATTAATTAAATTGTTTTCTAATTTAAAAAAAAAAATTCACACAAGATTTCAAAAAAAAACAATTCTTTTTTTTTGAAGCTAGAAAATTTGAAAAAGAAAACAATTTTTTTTTTATATTGGCACACCCAAAAATCTATAAAAATTATACAATAAAGCTAATATTAAATAAATGGTGTCATTTCACCAATTATGAGATCATTTTTTCGAGCATTCGATGTAAAATTCTTATAATTTTATTTTTCGTAGATTAATTTATTTAAAAAAAAAAAAAATTCCAATTCCTTTCTCAGTTTTTTCTTTTTTTTTGTTATTTAATTGACACATCTATTTATTTATTAATTAATCTAGAAAAATTATTAGCAAATCTCTATTTCTCTCTCGTTTATGGAATTTTTTTTTTTTTTTTTTTTTTTTTTTTAATGATATATCCTCTTTTTTTCAAGGATTTTCGAGAATAAGAAATATCATGTACAAATAGTCAAGAAAAATCGATTTTTAGACGTAAAAATATTGTCCAAATTTTTTTTCTCTTCCAGTTGTACAAATTTATTTTTTTCAAGTTGAAACAGTGGCAAAAATTTTAAATTTTTATCCAATTTATTTCTCAAAAAAAAAAGGAAATTAAATTTAATTTTCATTTTTATGACAATTATTTTTGAATTTTTTCAATTTTCTAATTCCATATTTTATCAATTTTGAAAATGAAATACAAAAATAGTAAAAAAAAAAAATAAAGAAAAAAGGATTGGAATAATTTTGAAAATTTTTGCCAAAGAAGTTTATCGGGACAAACGATTATTCCATAAAAATCATGAAAACTATTTAAATAGAATTTTCATTTTGAATGAATTTTATTAGAAATTAATTATTTTTTAGACGAATATTCATTTTTTTGAATAAGCATTTGAAATAGAATTTCTTTTTTTTATACGAATTTTTACTTAACAAAATTTTTAGCTACTAAATTTTTGTTTGGCAGAATTTTTATAATGCAGTCATTTTCCTTACATTATATTTTATTATATAAAAAAATTTTAATTTTATCGAATTTTATGTGGTTCGAATTTTTAAATGACAGAAATTCGAATTCACCGAATTTTTAATTTATTGGACTTTTAATTTAATCGAATTTTTAAATGACAGAAATTCCAATTCACTGAATTTTAATTTGTCCGAATTTTTAATTTGTTCGAATTTTTAAGGCGACGAATTTTTCTTGGTCCAAAATTAAAAATGACCGAATAAACAATCGACAGAAAGAATTCGGCGCAATTTTTGAAAATTGACCAATCACAATTTTCTTGATAATTTCTAATTTGTCAATTTTCAAAAATTGCGCCAAATTCTTTCTGTCGATTGTTCGTTCGGCCATTTGTAATTTCGGACAAAGGAAAATTCGTCGCCTTAAAAATTCGTACAAATAAAAATTCGAACAAATTCAAATTCGGACAAATTAAAATTTGATTAAATTCGCTTAAATTAAAATTCGGTGATTTGGAATTTTTGTCATTTAAAAATTCGAAACACATTAAATTCTACTAAAGAAAAATTTGGTAGCTAAAAATTTTATTACGTAAAAATTCGTATTAAAAAACGAAAAACTATCGAATTTTAATTCGAAAATTGAAAATTCGTTTAAAAAATAATTTCTAATAAAAATTCTAATTAATGATTTTTATGAGAGATTCGTGCGCCCCTTTTGCCTTATTTTTTTACAGTTTTTTCGAGGTTTTGTTCTCTTTTTTTTTAAATACAGATAATATATTTACAATTTGTCCCAATTGTACAACTTTTGTTCGGTGTACAATTTGTTCATTTTTTCTTTTAATTTTTAAATTGAGTAGTAAGTAAATATGTCATGAATATATATATATATACTAACTATATAAAATCGAAGTTACATTACTCTCAAGAGGATAGTCGCATCAAAATTGAATATTATGTTCATGTATCTTAATATAGATTTAATTCATAACTTAATATCGTGAAATTCCTAAAAAATAAATATCAGTTCCTTAATTTTTTTTTAAATCTAATATATTTATAAAAATTAAATTTTTATCCTAATTTGGCAACTTTATCCTCTCAATCATCATAATTACGTACACAAATTAGTAACATTGAAATTTTCTCTTAAATATACAATTTTATTTACATACGCACACATATTCTCGTTATGTAATTTTTCTTTCGCGGGGAAAAAAAAATGTGTGAAATGAGATATCACAAAATACAAAGTCTCAATTTTATTTTACGCACTTATTAATAGTTTTTTCTAAGTACTTTGCGTTAAAGAAATACCTCGATTTTTTTAATTATTATTATTTTTTTTTTAAATAGAATTTAATTAATTTTATCACTTTTTAAAAATAATTTTCGATTTCAATTAAATAGACAAAAAAAAATGTTAAATTTCTTTTGAATAAAATTAAAAATTTAATTAATTGTTTTTTCTTTTTAAAAATAATTTTCGATTTCAATATTATTTATGAATAGAAAAAAAATTGTTTATTTTCGTTTGAATAGATTTTTTTTAAAAAAAAATTGAAAATTTAACTTTTTTGTTTTGTAAAAAATTGTATTCAAAAATTATTTTTAGAAAATTTCACAAATTTTTTTTACTGCAATTTAATTTGAAAATTTTCTATATTATTATAATTCATGAGACTCGCTGTATCTCTTTAACAGTTTGACGCAAACAGTATCACATACGCATTGTAGAAATAGTCTCTGTTTGCGTCTACATTGAAACTTTCATACAATAAAATAAATGTTTGTGATTCATGTCTATGATTCATATATATTTAAAATACAATTTAAATTTTCAAAACAAAATTTCAAAAAATTAAAAATTAAAAAAAATTAATTTCCAAGTAGAAAAAAAAAATTTCAGTATTTTTTTTTTTTAAGCGAAATTTTATTTCAAAGGGAAAATAATTTAAATTAATTTTTAAAATAAAAAATGAATAATAAAAATATATATGTTTTGTCAATTAGAAAAAAAAAGTAAATAAAAATAATTTGCGTGAATCACAAACATAAGCCGAAGTTATACTTAAATAATAGAAATACTACTCGCGTGGAGGCCACAAAACTCGGGCATATAGAGTCGATCGATCGGCTCATAATAATGGTCGTTTAATTCAAAGACATCCTCATAATCCTCTTTTATATATATATATATATATATATATATCACTTCTTCTCGGTTATAATATCAAAACAATGCAATACTTTTCTTTAAAATATAGTTTCAAAAAAAAAAAGTTATGATTAATAAAAAACGTTACTTTCAGAGAGCTCGTAAAAAAATGAAATAAATAAATGCGAAATGAAATATTTTTATATGGAGTGAATTTCTGCATTACTATTGAATATAATAAATAATGCAAAATGACATTTACAAGGACAAGAACACAATAAAGAATACTGATATATCGCCAATTATTAATAAAAATTTTAAAATCTTAATTTTCACTAAAAAAAGAAAAATTAAATAATAAATTATTATTAATTTTATCAGTTTCTCAAAAAAATTGACTTATCCTCCTGAATTGGATTCGTAATTATTTACATTCGAAGTTCTATATACAAAAAAAATAAATAAAATATAGAAGAGTAAAATTGCATTTTTTATAATAGCAAAATCCTACTTATGGGGAAATTATTTACCAACTATTTACAAAAAAAAAAAAATATATAATAAAATAAAACTTAACTTATAAATCGCCTTTTTTTTCGTACACGTGTGCCGCTTAACGTTGAACATGTTTTTTCTCTCTTGAAAACTTGCATTTGAATTTCATATTCTAATTAGAATACAAAGTCAATAATTGAAGAAGAAGAAGAAGAGTCAGCAAAATGAAATCCAAGTTAAATCTGTAATTATGTAGAGTAAATTTTAGTTTTCAATTAAAATAATAATAATGCATTCGAAATTTAAAATAATAAATATTTTTAAAAAAATGCATATAATTTCGAGAAATATAAATTCAAATTGTTTATAATATTAAATTATTATTTTAAATAATTTAGTTTTTGAATTTAATAATTTACTGATTTATTACTAATTTTTTTTTTTTAGCTTTATTCACAATTATTTTATTATTTTCTTTTTTAAGCTCGAGGGAAAGAAAAATTAAATCTACTAATTTTAAATTAATTTAAATAAAATCATTCTCGATTTTTTTCGCCTAATTAACATTTATTTTCTAAAAAAAAACGACCGAGTGAAAAAATCATATTTACTTTCATTTATGTATTATTTTTAATTTAAATTAAATTTGTCGTTAAATTAAATTAAATTTATTAATGAATTAAATTGATAATAAATACGTAAATAAACAAAAGTAAGATATTTTTGAAATAACAAAAAAAAATTACTTTTTAATTATTTTGCAAATAACTTACCACAGTTTTTTTTGGGGGGGGAGGGGAAGTCTTCGAAATAATGATCCAGCTCCCTTATTTTTTTTCTCTTTTTTCAAATGAAATCGTTCGAAAATGATGTACTATTTACAAATTCGTGTAGTGTAAAATATGTGACGAATATGATTTTTTTTTCTCTTTTGTTTCCTCTTCATAGTTTACCAATTTCCAATGACGGAATTGGATCTAAACTTTTGAATAAAAGTCCTTCAATTCATTTGTTATTGACTGTCTTTCACTCTCACGGCTCATTCTGCCGAGAAGTAATTTCCTTCATAAAGAAGAAAAAAAAAAGTAGGCTGGCTAGACAAGTTGGTCATGTTTATATAGTGATGTAATAACGAGAAACTCCCCTGATGATTCATTGAGAATTTTTTTTTTTTTTTGAACAAAAGAGCCATTAAAAATCCAAAAAAATTTTTTTTGCGTGCTACTGGGAAGAATGTGCTTCAGTTTTACTTATTCCGCTGGTGCCCGGTTTATCTGAAAATTCATTTTTTATTTCAATAGAGGACATTTTTTAAAATATACAAATTTAAATAAATAAATAAATAAAATAATTACACATTAAATTTAGATTGTATAATCATTAATTTAAAGTAAATTAATACGATATTTATAATTTAGCATATAATAATAAAATAATAATTACTACATAATATTTAATAATTTAATATTTGTTTTTTTAAATCCATTTTCCAGTTTATAATTTTTTTTTTCTTAATAAATTTGCATAAAATTATAAATAATATATATTTTTTTTTCCAGAAATTTTTCGGAAAATTATCTTTCTCTCTCTCTCTCTTTTTTTTTTGTTTTTATAGAAAAACTTTATCCGCGCAACTTTTGAAAAAGTTTTTAAAAATTCATCCCCTTTTATTTGCATATCAAGTAGGTAAGAAGATTTTCCATCATAAAACTTTTTTTTTTTTTTAAGAATCCATTAGATATCTCAATCTTTTAATGTATGTAATATTATGGAGTGTGAATTTTTTAAAAGTAACCAAGGACGAAATACTTTAAAGTATCCTAATTTAAAGAAAAAATAAAAAAAAAAAAAACCTTTCAATTCAATTGCGCTGAGATTGAAAATTCTGTTTACTCTTATATAACTTTTAGAAAAAACATTTTTATCGTCCCACGAGAAAGTAAACATTCTCATGCGGCTATATAAAATCCAATTATTGAACAATTTTTAAAATTAAAAACCAAAAAAAAAAAAACAAAAACACACATGTTTATCTAAAAAGCTTCCTTTAATATTATTTTATTGTTAAAGTTCAAAAATTAGAAAAATATTCCAAAGAAATTATAATTTATTTCAGGCCTTGGATTGACTTTAAGGCGCAAAAAAAAGTTGATTTACATTCTAAAATGAGTCGAAAAAGTCGATTTTTTTATTTTAATTAAATTTAATTACTTAATTATTTTACTTTAATTAACTAATAGATATTAAATCCATTTTAATAATTCCTTAATAATAATAATTCCATAGGAATATTATCAAGAAAATTTATTTCTATTTCAGAATTGAAGACGTAAATTTTTAAAATTTAAATTAAATAGGACAAAATTCTAAAAAAAAAAATTATTACAATTCAATTTTAGAGTTTTTGTAACTTTTTTAAACATTTGAATTTTTAAAGAATAATTAAAATTATTAAAAATAATTGAAATTTGAAAGAGTTATTTTTTTTTTGAAATAATTAAATTTTTAAAAGATTTTGTTAAATTTCAGACAATAATTAAATTTTACAGAATTGAAAATAATTTATCAAATATAATTTTAAATGACGTTTTTTTTAAGTAATTGAATATTCAAAGATTTAGAATTCAGATTTTCGAAATTAATTGAACTTTAAGAGATTTTTGTGTCGAGTTTTTTAATTATTTCTGTTATTTCTGTTACTGAAGAATTAATTAGAAATTATAGGTAAAAATTGAATTTCAAAAGTTTTTATTTTTTTAATTAAAAAATTGAAAAATGATTTTAGATAATTCAATTTTCAAAGAATATTATAAAATAAATTAAAAAATAATTGAATTTTGGAAATTTTATTTGAAATTATTAAATTTCGAAAAAGTTTTAAATGGAAAATTTTGAAAATAATTAAATTTTAAAGGATTCTAAATTGAATTTTTTTTTGGTATTTTTATTGAAAATTTGGAAAATATTCAGATTTTTGACTGATATTCATTGAAATTTTTTTTAAAAAACTTTTTGATCAATTGATAATTATAATTTTGAAAAATAATTGATTTTTTGAAAAATAATGGAATTTTTAACCGATAATAAAACTTTTTTTTAGAAATAATTTAATTTATAGCAGATTAGAACCAAAATCTTTGAAAATGTAATTTTTGTCCGTTTTCAACTAATTCGCATTAAAATTTTTGGCTAAATTGAACTAAATTTTTTTATAAAAAAAAAATTATGGAAAATAATTGAATTTTTGCTTAATTTTCATTGATATTTAAAAAAAAAAGTTTTCGACAAATTACAATTGATGACAAATAATTGATTTAAAAAAAAATTTTAGTGAAAAATTTAGCTTGATTATTTTTGACAATAAAAATTTAGATAATAAAAGAGATTTTTTTTTTTTTGATTGATTCGTTTTTAAATGAAATTAAATATGCGAAAGAGACAACTCCATTAAATATCAATCAGTAAATTCGAAATATTTGAAATGACAATTTTTGTCAAAAAAAAAAGAAGAAGTGATTTTTAAATAATTAATATTGAAAATACCATGATTGACGTCAGTTGAAAGTGCCTCAAGTCGAGCTGGCAAATCGGCGGTGCCAGTTTCCGCATGTTGTCCAAGTATATCGGGCATTGCATTTCGTCTCCCTGTTCTTCCAGTTGAAAGAAATTCCTTTGAACCTTCGCCATTTGAAAAACTTCCCGGTGTCACAGCTCCACTTCCACTTGAGCCAGTTTCACCTTCTGAATTACTTCCTGCCTGCTTTTGTGACAGCATTCTCAAGACTGGAAACATTTTTCTTTTTTTTATATTTCTCTATTTTTATTAAAAAAAAATTCAATTTTATCAAAACAATAATTTTTCAAGTTATATAGATTAAATCAAAACTTATGATTTACAAAATCAGTCTTATTATTAAAAGCTCAACTTTGATTCTACGAACAAAGCTTGTTTATTATTTTGCTTTATGCCTTGAACATGGAAAACTGATTAAATTCTAAATAAGCTTCTTAATTAGCTTGTCTACATATTATTTTAGAAATTTATAAGATTTTCTTGAAATTTCTTTGGTACAGATAAATAAAAAAATTTTAGTGATTACAAAACGAAAATTTAAAATACATTTTAATTTAAAAAAAATTCTTTTTTCTTTATTAAAAAAAAAATATATAAATTTGTAAATTATTTTTTTCCGATTTTTTTTCGACAATTTTTCAAATTAGAAATATTGTAAATTACCTGGCAAAAAAAAAAAGATTTTTAGTACCAATAAAAGAATAATAAATAATTCAAAAGGGTGTAATTTAGAGGAAAAATTACAAAAAGCGTCCACAATTGTTTCTACATAAGAAAAGCGATCGATTATTTGCTACGAATATTAGCCACTATTCTAGGAACAAATCAAGGTTAATCGAAGAAAAATTTTGTGATTAGATTTGTTTTTTTTTATTAAATAATGCTTAAAGAAATTAGTATTCACTTGCCCTAAGGTTTACGCAGCATGCTCTTGTAAATATAGAATTAATTTAATTAATTATTATTTTATTATTTTTTATTATTTATTATTATTATTATTTTTAATATTATTTATAATATTAATATTAATATTAATAAAATAATTAAATAATTAATAATATTATTATTAATATTATCTTTAAAAAATAAATTATTCAATAATAATAAATAATATTAAGTTAATATCAATAATAATTTATAATTAAATAATTGAATCAAAGAAAAAAAATTTATTTGCAAAAAAAAAATGTTTTGTTTGTCATCAGATTCTATATTTAGTAAATATGATTTTAATCCCTCTCTAGTCTAGAGGTAAAAAAAAGCAATTCGACAGATTTAACAAGATTCCGGTCCATGGGGATGCAGGTCATATTTTTCATCCCCTCTAACCCCCCTCTCTCTCTCTCTCTCTCTCTCTCTCTCTCTCTCTCTCTCTCTCTCTCTCTCTCTCTCTCTCTCTCTCTCTCTCTCTCTCTCTCTCTCTCTCTCTCTCTCTCTCTCTCTCTCTCTCTCTCTCTCTCTCTCTCTCTCTCTCTCTCTCTCTCTCTCTCTCTCTCTCTCTCTCTCTCTCTCTCTCTCTCTCTCTCTCTCTCTCTCTCTCTCTCTCTCTCTCTCTCTCTCTCTCTCTCTCTCTCTCTCTCTCTCTCTCTCTCTCTCTCTCTCTCTCTACAAAACTCTACAGGACTTTGAAAAAGTCTCGCAACTTCTTTTATTCTCTCCTTCTTCTTCTTCTTCTTCTTTTTTTTCCTCTGAGAATTTATTCCCCTTTCTGCGATTTATTTATTTTCTTTTTTTGCTCTCAAGTCGCTCAACTTAATAAACATTTTTTTTTTTTTTCTTTTTTTCTAACCCCTCTTGCGCAAAATCAACAATAATTCAATAAACATGACATTTCGTTTCCCTTATGAATTTAGAAAAAAAAAAAAAACAATAAGAAAAAGAAATTTATTTTCGATTTTTAATTTCTTGATTTTTTAAAATTTTCAATTTAATAATTTATTTTTAAAATTATTATAATAAAAAAATTATATAAAATTATTATACAAATTATTATTATTATAAATTACTATTATTATTATTACTATTATTAATCTTTTAAAATTATGAGAAAAAAAATTTGACAATATTTTTTTTTCAATGCAAAATATTTTTCTCAAAAAAATAATTGAAAATTGGAAAAAAAAATAATGCTAGTTAATAAAAATGAAGAGAAGAAAACTTTGTTAAACATTCGCATGCGAATAATACAAGTTATGAAAAAAATATAATATTGACTATGTTAGAGAATATTTACTTAAAATTAGTTTTTAAAAGAAACTGAAAAAAATATAATTTTGATTCTATCAATTAAATTAGATCCCAGAAAAGTATTAGAATAGTAAAAAAAATTGTTTTTTTGTTAAGAAAAAGTATTGAGAAATATTTGCGAAATTATTTTAGTTTTGCGGAAAATTGCGAGAGAGTTATATATATATGTTATTATAAATCAAGAAGAAAGAGAAAAAGCTAAATATGAGAAAAGCAGAAAATTCATCATTCAATTTTTTTTTTCTGTGCAAAAAAGGGAGACAAGGTCGTAAATTTTTTTTTTTATTTGTCAAGAGCACGATGAGTAAATGTACCTTGGGCACGAAAAAGGCGCTTTCTTCGCCCACGCTTCCTTGATCTGTCGGAAACGGAAATTGCAACTGTCTGGACCATTGAAGGAC